CGGGTCTGTCGGCCTGAGCCAAGGAGACCTAGGGTTTCTCCTATTCCATCCTGTAATGTTTTCAGAGTGTCTGCTTTGACTTCGAGGTCTTTGATCCATTTGGAGTTGATTCTAGTGCAGGGTGATATATAAGGATCTAGCTTTAGTTTTCTACAAGTAGTTAACCAGTTTTGCCAGCATCATTTACTGAAGAGGCTGTCTTTGTTCCATTCTATTGTTTTAGCTCCCTTATCGAAGATTAGATGGCTATAGGTCTGTAGGTTCATTTCTGGGTTTTCAATTCTATTCCATTGGTCCTGAGGTCTGTTCTTATGCCAATACCAAGCGAACAGCCTTTTTTTAAACTATGATTTCCAAAACACTTGATTTGCTGGTGAATTTAGTACTCTCCAAAAGTAGCCTACAATTTTAACAAAAGATATTTCTCAAACTATTTCCATCATAAAACTTTTATGAAAGCATACCAATTAATTTCTCTTAGAAGAGCACATCACAAAATGATCTGAAATGCTAGGTAGCCTGTCAGACCTACACAGGAACAAGGACAGCCAGAGGAATATGTACTGTGTGATTTTTTTTCATCAGAGTTAGTTATACAATTGACCTGATTTATTCAAAATTTGATTTAATATCACTTCAAAAGGATAACTTGCTTGCAATTGTATACAAGTCTTTAAGGAAAGGCTTTGAATAAATGCCAAAAAAAGGCTACGACTTCTTTTTCATTAATTCATACAAATAGCTTCATTTGTTTTTAAGTATATGATAGCTAATTATTCAGATAGGGTGGTTTTTAAAAAATGACCATGAAATCTTGCTAATCAGATGTTATGAGAAAAGTATGACATTTTCAAGAACCTAATATTTTATGGTCTTCAGAAACTTCTTTTCATATGTTGCTAATTAAAACTGTAGGGCTGGAAAAAGTAGCTTGGTGACAGTGTTTGCATGATCCTTGGGTTTGATCTTAACAGCATAAAGAAAAATTCATTTTTAATTACTTGACTACATATAAATTGTTTTGCTTCTCAAACAGAAGTTCCTCTCTACTTGTATTTCCCTACCATTTGTTTCTTTCTTGCTTGATTTTTGTTTTTATTAACTTTAAGTGGTTGTACAAAGGGTTTACCATTCTACATGTCAGTTTATGAGTGATGTATAGCATCCCTTGGTAATTTAATTTCTAACCCAACTCTTCATCAACACTATTCTGGCATTTTAACCACATACAATTTTTGTTTGCTCAAAATCCTTTCCCATCTCAGACTCCTTTCCTCTAGTCACTACTCTCACCTTTTTTCTTTCAATCTCATTTTCTTCCAAGTCCAGTTTTTCCTTCCTTTTCCTTCCTGAGCTTTTCTTCACACTCAACTTCTCTTTATGCTCTTTGACCTTCAGCTATGACCTGACTGACTCCTAGAAATTCAACCATGACTTCTATATAAAGTCTACAAGTGACACTGACCACACACACACACACACACACACACACACACACACACACACACACACACACACACATACAACTTTTCTTACTACTTTCCTCCTACTCAGTAGTCAAAACCCAACTCACTAACTACAATATAAACCAGGACTTGCAAAGAGGTAGAAAATGGCCTGAGCAATGTACTCAGAAAACTGAAACACATAAGGGCTATCTTCTGAATGGGTGTGTAAAGGAGAAAATTTCACTCACAGGAAGTGGGTACCAGTCCCTTGAATGATCCCAATCATGGCCTCTCCTCAAAGAGTCCTACTTTTATGAACCAAAAATTAGTTACTACTTTGTACTGCTTTGGAATACCATGTACAAACAAGTCCTATTTGGAAAAAACAAGCCCTTTCTACCATAGAGATGAGTAGACACAAAAATACAGAACAAAGCTGGGATCCATTAGTTTGTGCCTATAATCTTAGATACAAGGCTTAGATCTGAGGGTCACAGTTTGAAGCCAACCAGGGTCAGAAGTAGAGCTATGGACTGGTTTTTTTCTTTCTTGCTATTTTTAATGCATTTAAAATTACTATGTGATTTTTTTTGTTTCTTTTGTATGTTCTTCCCTCATGGTATAACCCCTGTTTTCACTGTATTTGATGTTGGTGCCCTGCATCTTGTATATACATTTTTCTAATTTGGGGAGGGGAAAGGAAATAACAAAATGCTGAAATAAGGATACAGGTTGACCCATTGTAACAATGAGATATACAAGACACTATGCTGAAAACAAACTTTATAACTTTTGGGGGGAGGAGTTGGGGAGCTGGGGAAGGAAGGGATGGTAGGGGAAAACAAAGGAGGAGGTAACAATGCTCAATAGGAAATGGACTCATTACATTACTCATGAAACTATAATCCCTCTGTACAGTATTTTTACAATAAAAGAATATTTAAAAAAAAGAAGTAGTGCTGTGGCTCAAATGGTAGAATGTTTGAGCAAAAAAGCCCAGGAACAGTGCCCAGGTCCTGAGTTTAAGCCCCAGGACCTGCACCAAAAATAAATAAATAAACACACATACATACATACAGAGTAGAATTAGAATCATTAGAACATCAAATAATAACCCTTCTAAATAAATATCATACTTTTTAAACCATAAGGTAATTCTGAGCCTGCAAGAAAAATTATTACTCATAAAAATACCACAAAGATTTTTAAACAACCAGATAACAATCTGTAAACAGAATAAGAATTTAAAGATTCAAAGAGACAGCTGAAGGAGAGCTGCTTTCTGAAACAGAACTTTGAAAGTTAATCCAATTTAGCAAAAAGAAGAAATTAACAGTATACAAAGGAGCTCAGCACTGGTGGCTCATGCTTGTAACCCTAGCTCTTCGGAATGCTAAGATCTGAGGATTATGGGTTGAAGCCAACCTAGGCAAGAAAGTCCACCAGCAACAAACAAAGCTGAAGGTATGGCTCAAGTGATTGAGCATCAGCCTGGCAAGCCTAATTCATTGCATCCATGAATTACTTCATTGGATTATCAGCATACATAGTATATGTATAAGCTTGCTATATTCAAGAAACATACAACGGAAGATAAACAACTTTTCCCTCAAGTATTTGTTAACAGAGCCTTGCTGGATCCATTGCTTTGCTGACTCTAAATCTCCCTAAATCTTGAAACCTATTTGCAGTTCATGTTTCTGATTCAGACTGACATCCTTGGATAACCATTATCTAAACACACCTGTGATCTCGATACCTGTGATCATTTGGCCCCATCTGGATAAGTTCACAAGGATCCCCAGCACTAGCCCCTACTAATTTCTAATTCCAGCTTGTGCTAAGAGTCACTTTGTAAGTCCCAAGGTCACCTTTCCTAAGCTACGAAGGTGTCACTCTTGCCTGGATCTAGTTTTGCTTTGTCCATAAATGTTTTGGACTTGGAGACAAGAGACCAAGATTCTGCCACTAACTTACCATATGGCCTTTGGCAACTCACTTAAACCTGTCAAGTCACAATTTCCTCATGTATAAATTTTGGGTGTTAGACTAGTCCCTCCCAACTATAAAATTCCATGATTTTAAGATCAAACATGAAATCTTGATAGGAGGATTGTAATAAAACTGTGAAAAAGAAAAGAAAGTGGTCTAGTCTCGATGAACTTTCATATTTTATTATGAGAGTTTCAGGTTATTTTATACATGTTTACATATACTTAGAGACATTTAAAATGAGGACATTTTACAAGGTAAGAAACAAGAAAGCCCTCACACATGATATTTAAAATGTGGCTCCACAGTGCACAACACCTCCATCATATATAAATAGAACATAGCATTTACAGCCACTTAACCTGTAATATATTTCTTTTGGCTGAAAGGTAATGTTCAACTACATGAGTCTCTGAGAACACTGGCTTTTTTCTTCATGTTGTTTTATAAAGTAATGCTATTTTGTAAAAACCTAGGGTTCCTGGGCACACAATCTCTTTATTGCTGAGCTTTTTTTAATAAAAAGAAAGAAAGGAAGAATTATAGTAGCTTCTATTCATTGAGTACCTACCATTGGGTCTGATTGCATGCTTGGTAATTTACATATATAATCTAATTCTCCAAAATAGTGCAAACTGTGTCTCACTTAACCAGTAAGAAAAATTGCCCCTCAGAGAGTATATCAACTTAGATAAATATCCATTTAATAAGAAATCCAGGCTGATGAAGTGGAAAAGAGGGGAAGAATACAGTCAAGAATTGAATGTTTAAAAACAAATCAATGTATATCCTACAAAATTAAGAAGACTGAGGGGAGGCAGAGGGAGAGGGATGGGGAAGAATGCTGAAAGGGGTGATATTGATCAAGATTCATTATTTTCATGTACTGCTTTGTTAAGTGGTACCTCCTTTGTAGAACTTCCTAAAGATATAACTAAATAAATAAGAAACTCAAACAGAACAAGAACCAAAACCAGCTAAACTTTGTCTTCCATTCTGCCCTGAAATAACATAAAATAAATCTACTCAATATTTCAAAAATAATAGTAATAAAAGTTATGGAACCCTTACTATATACAATAATTTTTTAAGCATTATTGGCAGGTTTCAATGAAATTTGTGTAAGAATAAAGGCTGAAGCATGCAAAAGTTAGGTAACTTGTCCAGTTAACATAGTAAAAATTACCCATGCTCACAAACCCCCACTGTAGACCACCTAAAATCTGGTAGAACTTTGAAATCTAGAAGAAAAACTGTTCAATCCTGTTCAGTTTTTATAAATTGGTAATCCAAATGATAAGGCAACACTGAAATTCTTCCACTTCTCTTTCCACACATACATGTATATACATATGTATATATATTATGTATATGTATATGCATGTGTATATATGTTTGTATGTATCTGTGTATATACATAGATGTTTGTGTATATATACATATATATGTATATGTATACATACACACATCCCAATACTCCTGTCCCATGTCAATTACTTCAGTTTGCCACAACTGGCTTCTCTTCTTCATGAAAATTCTACAGGCCAATGTCTGCTCGAGCTAGTAAAGCCAACAATAATGATGATGATGATGATGATGATGATGATGATGATGATGATGATGATGATGATGTGGTGGTGGTGGTGGTGATGATGTTGATGATGATGAGGCTGATGACCATGATGGCAGTAATAACAAATGGTTGACTCAGAACCAACTGCTCCTAGCATGTTTTAGACTTTAAAGCTCAAAAGGTAATTAACAAGGGAGAACAGGATAGATTGACCCCTTAGAGATCCTAAACCTTAGTGCTATCCTCATTAACAATGGTTATAACTAGTCTGTTCCCAGCCTAAAGAAACACATAACAAATATTTTATCAAAGAAATGAGGAAAATTTTAAAGTAAGAAGCAGAAATAATGTATGGCCAGTTGTAAAATATGTTTTAAGTATTATAAAGTTGATGATAAAACTTCCTTCCAAATAAACCCCTTGATGTTGTAAACACACACTGTGTTGGTGTGTTTAAAAAATTTATACACAGAAATCAAATTCTCCATTGCAGCATTAATTTTCCATTACCTTTTCAATGGTATCCTATGAAAATATACACATATAGAAGATGGATTCTTTATGACAGCAGTACATTGGAGCCAGAGTAATGAGGCTTATGTCAATTTTTCCACTCAGCTACTTTTTTTAAAGCAGGTTAATGACTAGGCCATAAAAATGTGATTAAGTAAAATCTGGCAAGTGTGTTCTTAGTAAGTAACGTTTTTAAAAAAAACTGAAAAGAAACTAAAAGCAATGATTGACCATTTGGAAGATTTAAAAATTATTTTTAGGAACATATACTGTAAAGGAAAGTAATACAAAAGCTTTTGGCAACTCGATTTATAAATGTATTTTAGAAGATGGCTGCCAAATAAATTTAGCCAAATCCTTTTTTCTGTAAAGTGATCTGTGACTTTGAATGGGTCGACATGCACTTTCCTATCAAATTTGACATACATCAAGAACACCAGTACTGTTGTACAAACCCTAGTAACAGTGCTTGGAAGTCTAGGTATTCCTACAAGGGTGGTGTATCAAAGGTAATGATAAAGTTAACTTTGAAGGGACTACATTTGTTGCATATGTGTGTGTGTATGTGTTCATGTGCACACACAAATACCCACCAATACTGGGACTTGAGCTCAAGGCCTCTCACACTTAGCTTTTCCTAAAGGCTGTCACTCTACTTCTTGAGACCACACCTCCACTTCTGGCTTTTTGCTGCTTAAGTGGAGATGAGTCTTGTGGACTTTTCTGCCCAGGCTGCCTTTAAAGCACAATCCTCAATCTTAGCCTTCTGAGTAGCTAGGATTGCAGGTATAAACCTCCTATGCTCAGGACTTGAAACAGCTCCATTTAAAAGTATACTTCTGATAACTGTCCTCAGGGCTGAAAATATGGGGTAGGAGACAAAGATATGTGGACTAAGGTATCAGCCCTGTCAGAGGCTAGTTGGTGTGGTCCCTGTGCTTTGGACATCTTGTATTTAAACTGATAGTGGAATTTATATTCCCCATATCATAGGCCTACTTGTTCAAAAAAGCTGACTTATCTCCTACAGCAAGAAATAACCTGGGCATTTTTGAAACTTGCCTTATTTATTATTAAATGGTGAAAATGTATCAAAGTATTACTGACTCATACTGACTGTAGGCCTTAGGGAAGATGTTTGTTTTGACCTCTAATTCTCTAAGATGACAGAGATGAAGAATAAGGAATCATCTCAAAATAATTGCAGTACAATTACAAAACATCTTAAATAAAATGTGAGCAATTAGCAAAGTGACCTGGTATTCCTGATATTAAATTCAACAATCATTTAATGAAATGAGCATTTACTTTATTTAAGGAAATTGCACTGGGGTATCATGTTAGTAGAGCATTTGCCTAGGATGTGTGTAACCTTTGGTTTGGTCATCAGAATCTCAAACATAAACATACATATAAATACACATGCACACAGAGAGAGAAGATGTCAAAGTTCATGATGGATACAGATTGATTGGAAAATCCTACAAGTTTAAGATGTGAAAAGGATTCACTCCTTTATTATTGGTTTATAAAAAAAATTAATTACATCCTATTCTAATGACAGATTAAATACTACCAACATATACAGGATTGTACAATATATTCTATACCAAGCCCCTACTTCCACTATATTGCTTTTAGTTTATATTATAAATTTAGAATCATCTAAATCTATTTTAATGATGTTCCATGGTGAGGAGCAAATGAAATGAGTAATAGTTACTGAAAGTCCAATGCTAATCACTAGATCACCAAAATATCCTTAGGAGTTTAATAACTAAAGCTGTCTATCTCAACAGACAGAGCAAGATGAAGGATCCAAGACAGAAGGGCAGAATTCTCTAGAAACTTCTTCAAAGCAGTTGTCATTTTCTGTTTGATGTTAGTACATAGTTTTCAGGATGGTGACATGTCAGTGAATAGTCCAAGATGAGTGACAAATAGCCTGACTTTCTTAGTTTAGTCTAAAACTGACCTCTGCCAGGATTCCTCTCCTGATGCGGAAGTGGTTACCACCATGTGTATTTTCATTTCCAGTAATCTTATATTTATTTTTTATTTTTTGGATCCGGTTGTGGGGCTTGAACTCTGGGCCTGGGCACTGTCCCTCAGCTCTTCAGCTCAAGGCTAGCGCTCTACCACTTGAGCCACAGCACAACTTCTGGCTTTTTACTTTTTTGCTTATGTGGTGCTGAGGAATCAACCCAGGGCCTCATGCATGCAAGGCAAGCACTGAGCCACCTTCCCAGCCCCCATCTTATATTTATTTCAGTGAATAAAATCCTCTTTCATTCCCTGTTCAATGAGAACAGGGAAATACCTGCTGTTTGGCTCACCACTATACAATGTATTCTTTCCCACTAAATTGTCCTTAAGTTTATATGATAAATTTAGAAGATCTAAGTCTACTTAATTACCTTCCATGGTGAGAACAGTCCAGATGCAGACACAAGTGGAAAATAGAAGGTTGTGGCTAGAAAAATCTTGAGTTGAAAAGAATGGCTGGTGAAGCTCTCTAGAAGGGGCAAAGGCCTGAGGAATGTATTACAAAGCATCTATTACAGCTATCTGGCTAGATAACTAAGACAGGCATTTCATATGTAGAGATGTAAGAAAGATTAAAAATAGGAATTGTCCTGAAAAAATTAGATAAATAAAGGCACAGTATGATATATAAAGATCTAGCTTTAGTTTTCTACAAGTAGTTAACCAATTTTGCCAGCACCATTTACTGAAGAGGCTGTCTTTCTTCCATTCTATTTTTTTAGCTCCCTTATCAAAGATTAGATGGCTATAGGTCTGTAGGTTCATTTCTGAGTTTTCAATTCTATTCCATTGGTCCTGGGGTCTGCTCTTGTGCCAGTATCAAGCTGTTTTGATTACCATGGCTTTGTAGTACAGTTTGAAATTTGGTATTGATATTCCTCCATCTCTGTTCTTTCTGTTAAGGATCATTTTTGCTATTCGGTGTCTTTTATTGTTCCATGTGAATTTTTGGATTGCCTCTTCTATTTCCTTGAAGAATGAGGTTGGAATATTGGTAGGTATCGCATTGAATTATCCTGAACCAGAATCAACTCCAAATGGATCAAAGACCTCAGAGTCAAAGCAGACACTCTGAAAACATTACAGGATGAATAGGAGAAACCCTAGGTCTCCTTGGAACAGGCCAAAATTTTCTTAATAGAGACCCAGAAACACAACAAATCAAAGAAAGGTTGGACAAATGGGATTGCATAAAATTGCAGAGCTTCTGCATGGCAAAGGACATAACTCACAAGATCAATAGAAAGCCCAAGGATTGGGAGAAGATCTTCACTAGCCATACAATGGACAAGGGTCTCATATCTAAAATATACCTTGAACTCAAAAAATTAAATCCCCCAAAAATAGATCTTCAAAGAAACAACTGCCCAATAAATAAGTGGGCTAAAGACAAAGAGAACTGTATTTCAGGTTGGTATAATTTGTGGAGGGGAAGGGAAAAAAACAAATCATTTAAATAGGGATACAGGTGGATCCATTGCAACAGTGAGATATACAAGTAGTTATGTAGAAAAACCAACTTTACAACTTTGGTGGGGGGGGGGGGGGAGAAGGGTGGGTGAGGGGGTGGGGGGAGGATGGGATGGGAAGGGGAAACAAAGGAGGAGGCTACAATGCTTAATAAGAAATGTACTCATTATCTTGCCCATGTAATTGTAACCCCTCTGTACAGTATTTTCACAATAAAAAATAAAATAATAAAAATAAAAGACTTAAAGAGAAACTTCTCTGAAGAGGATGGCCAATAGACACATGAAGAAATGCTCAATCTCTCTAGCCATAAAAGAAATGCAAATCAAAACAACATTGAGATACCACCTCACCCCAGTTAGAATGACTATAATCAAGAACCCTAATAACAACAGAACTTTACTGCACTGTTGATGGGAGGGTAAACTTGTTCAACCACTTTGGAAAGCAGTATGGAGGTTCCTCAAAAGACTCCACATAGAGCTCCCCTATAACCCAGCAATCCCACTTTTGGGCATTTACCCAAATGATCACAAACAAGACCATACTAAAGCTACCAGCACAATTATGTTTATCACAACATTATTCACCATAGCTAAGATATGGAACCAACCCAGATGCCCCTCAGTAGATGAATGGATCAAGAAAATGTGGTGTATATACAATGGAATTCTGTGCCTCCATCAGAAAGAATGACATTGCCCCATTCGTTAGGAAATGGAAAGACTTGGAAAAATTATATTAAGTGAAATAAGCCAGGCCCGAAGAAACATAGGTCCCATGGTTTCCCTTATTTGCAGTATCTAGTATATGTCTGAGTCAAGAAGAAAAGGTCAGATAAGATGATGCTAGGGAAATGAACCCCAAGATAAGTATTCAAATGTTTTTTGGGTTTTTTTTCCTTTCATGCTATTGTTTCTAACATATTTATAAGATGATTTCTTTGTTGCTTTGTATGTCCCTCCCCCACAGTATAACCCATGCTTTCACTGTATTTGATGTTGGTATAATCTGTGGAGGGGAAGGGAAAAAACAAATCATTTAACTAGGGATACAGGTGGACCATGGCAACAATGAGATGTACAAGTTGTTATGTCGAAAACTAACTTTACAACTTTGGTGGGGGGGTGGGCAGGATCAGGTAGGGGGAAAGGGGGAGTATGGGAAGGGATGAGAAGGGGAAACAAAGAGGAGGCAACAATGGTTGATAAGAAATGTACTCATTGGGGGGCTGGGAAGGTGGCTCAGTAGTAGAGCACTTGCCTTGCATGCTCGAGGCCCTGGGTTCTATTCCTCAGCACCACATAAGAAAAAAGCCGGAAGTGGAGCTGTGACTCAAGTGGTAGAGTGCTAGCCTTGAGCTGAAGAGCTGAGGGACAGTGCCCAGGTCCAGAGTTCAGGCAACCACGACCAGACCCAAAAAAAAAAAAAAAAAAAAAAGAAATGTACTCATTGGGGCTGGGAAGGTGGCTCAGTAGTAGAGCACTTGGCTTGCATGCATGAGGCCCTGGGTTTGATTCCTCAGCACCACATAAGCAAAAAGAAAAAAGCCAGAAGTGACGCTGTGGTTCAAGTAGTAGAGCGCTAGACTTAAGCTGAAGAGCTGAGGGACAGCGCCCAGGCCCAGAATTCAGGCCCCACAACCGAACCAAAAAAAAAAAAAGAAAAAGAAATGTACTTGTTATCTACAATAATGGGGAAAAACCAGTTGTTTAAGGATACAGGTGGACCTGTTGCAACAATGAGAAGTACAAGTTGTCATGTCCAAAACGAGCTTTACAACGTCGGTGGGGGGGGGGGAGGGGGGGAAGGGGAGGAAGGAGAAGGATTGGGATTGGGGGGGAGGGGGGAGGCTGGGAAGGGAGGTGAAGGATAAACAAAGGAGGAGGCTGCAATGCTTGGTAAGAAATGTATGCATTATCCTGCCCATGTAATTGTAACAAATGTAATTTGTACAGTATGTTCACAAATAAAATAAAATTAAATTAAAAAAAAATAAATAAAGGCACAGTGTGACAACATGAACAAATTAATTGGATAAAAAGATAGGGCTGGTAAAGCAAAATAATGGCAGCTCAGTTGGAAATGTGGGTTGGAGCCCTGATAGCTTCCATGTTAAAGAAGCTGGACTCCCATCCATGAGTCTGAATAGAGGGGAGAGATGTGATCTAAGTTCTTGTTTCTAGGCTCAAGAGAGTACAGATAACCTGACTTTCAATGGTTGCACTTGATGATCTTCAGACTGTGTGATTGTGTGAAAGAATTCAATCAACACTGTACTTCAGATTTTAAACTTGAACCCTTTCCAGCTGGGAACACATGTTGTGATCCTCTTGTGATTCTGGCAAAGGTAAGGAAGGAGCCTCACCTCTCAATCATTCACACAACTGTGAGGGAAACAAACCAAAATCCTGTGTTGCTGAACTATGGTGGTTTGTGGGATATGAAAATATATCCATTTTCATTTGTATTTCTAAGTTAGGATGGGCTTAAAGGCATGTAACAGTAAGTCACAGAGTATCAAAGAATACATTGGAAGGAAGAGAGAAAATACAGTTTGTACAGTTGTCCAGGGCAGTGAAAATGAAGTAGGGTTGTGTCCATAGAAATAGAGATACAATTCTCTGCAGCACCAAGAATGAGCCAGTAAAACAATTCCCTGCCCCGCACTGAAAACTGATGATGGACTTACATAATGCTATCAATTCCTCCACTTCTACTGTTTCCAAACTACTGTTCCCAACTACTCTTTTTTTTGGGTCCAGTCATGGGCCTGAACTCTGGGCCTGGGCGCTGTCCCTCAGCTCTTCAGCTCAAGGCTAGCGCTCTACCACTTGAGCCACAGAGCTACTTCCGGTTTTTTTCTTTTTGCTTATGTGGTGCTGAGGAATCGAACCCAAGGCCTCAAGCATGCAAGGCAAGTGCTCTACCACTGAGCCACCTTCCCAGCCCCCCAACTACTCTTAAGAGATCTTCTTCCCTCTGCAGATAGTAATAGCAGTACTTCCTTAGAAGCTACTTAGTCACAAGCCTTCACACAGTGCCCTTCCTCAGCCACCAGTGTCCCTTCTCTGTTTTCTTCATTTGTCAATCCTTTTGTATATTTCAGAATTCCCCCAGCATGTGATTCTCCTAAGGCTATCCTCTGATTCCTTTCCAGCCCACCAACGTCCTCAGCAACCTTTGATAATTTAGCCACAGCACTTAGCACATCCTGAGTGCTGATACACATTTTCTGTTCTCCCTCATGAAAGTGTAACCTATCACAAGGAGTGGAAATAGAATACAAAGGATGAAAACACAGGTTCCTACTTCTGTAGGAACTAGCAACATACTACTGTTTTCTCTTGCCTTCCTCTGCAGAATGCAGGCAATGCCTACCTCACAGGACTTATACAATGAGGACACGAGCCCATGTATGCCTGTGACTGCAAGATGTACCCAATAACACAGCTATTTATTAACTATCCTCATGGTGTTGCAGACAGAACAATGAAGCGGGCCAGGGCTACATGCCAGAGGTAACCACCAAAGTCAATGACTAGAACCAGACTTTCCACCAAGATCTCTAGCCTTCCAACCTTTTTTCCTTCCACATGCTGCCTCTTGCCAATGGACTTCCTCAATATTGGGTCTGCTCTACAAATGTATGAAAAGAAGGCCAAGTTCTCATTTCCTCTCACAGACACCAGACAAAAAGACATGTGTAGAGAGAGCTACCCAAAGCACAAACCAAACATATAGTTTGTGGCTAGAAAATAAAATTTAAGAAAGTAGCATTTTACTGACTAAATTATATCCATCCTCTTTTTCCTTCTAATTCAAGCCAAAATTATTTTTCCCTTTTCAGTAATGAATCAAGTGATTCACAAGTAGACTGGGAATTCTGTCTAGGCTCATGGTTGTCTAGTAATATACAGAAGCGGATGTGGTTGCACTAAAAAAAGAATGCATGCTATCAAATCTCTACTTTTCAGTATCTTCGTCATCAGCCAAAGAAATTCAATCAATAAAGCCCATGAAGAATTACCCATTTACAATATCCTTTTACAATATGCAAACAGGAACTTTGTCTTTCATTCTCTTCAACAGGAACTCATCCTACTCCTTCTTAACTAAATATATTCATTTAAGATTCTAATATATCTCAGTATAAAACAAAAATTTAAAAACTGCCTAACCACAATTTACTGCGATGCTCTTTATGTTTGTATTTCATGCCAGAATAATTTCCAGTTATATTTACAGTACTCCTTTGTAAGCAGGGAGTAAGGAAAATTGCTGAGTGCTGGTGGCTCATGCCTATAATCCTATAGCTACTCAGAAGGCTGAGATTTGAGGATCATGATTTGAAACCAGCCCTGGCAGGAAAGTCTGTGAGACTAGTATCTCCAATTATCGACCAAAAATCCAGAAATGGAGCTGTAGCTCAACTAGTAGAGCACTATCCTTGAGGGGGAAAAAAAACCCTCAGGGACAGTGTCTAAGCCCTGACTTCAAGCCCTAGGATGAACACCAAAAAAAGTAAGGAAAAAAGAAAAAAGAAAGCATCACTTCAAGAGACTTGGAAAATATTAAATTCTGATGTCAAGTGCATTCAAGTTTAGGATCCTCATGCTTAATAAGGCACTTTTAAATTTCTTTCACTAGTTTAGAATTAAGTTGACCAACATTCAGAAAACAGAGAACTGGAAAGATAGTATTCTTCATTTAAAGACCTTTTTAGTAAATAGTAGATTATAGAATAGACACTGTCTCTGCCTGTTCATTCCATAGCCTACCAATGGGACCTCCTTCTTGCCATAGTTGAAAGGAGCTAGACAAAGTCACATGACCACTAGCAGCTCATACATAGGAGAACCAGTCAGTGTTCCTGAACAACAATTCGAGCAATGCAAACATTACTCTCTCAAGTACATGAGATTGAGGGAAAGAGAACCTAATCTGTGTGAATGTGAAGCTTATAGAAAAAAAAAAGAATACCCCACAATGACCTCCTAAGAACTTCTCAATCCAATCATGTTGGCAGTCATGATTGACCACCATATACTGTAACTGACTGAAATAATTTTACCTATCCCTTTCTTCCTTTTATTTATTTGGTTTTGGGTTTTTGTGTATGTGTATGCCAGAATGAGGCTTGAACTCAGGACCTAGGGTACAATCCCTGAGCTTTTTCACCAAAAGCTGGGAAGACACACAGCTCCTTTTTTTTGCCAGTCCTGAGGCTTGAACTCCAGGCCTGATCCTCTTTTGCTCAAAGCTAGCACTCTACCACTTGAGCAACAGCACTACTTCCAGCTTTTTCCATGATTTAATTGTAGATAAGAGTCTCACACACTTTCCTGCCCAGACTGGCTTCGAACTGTGATCCTCAGATCTCAGCCTCCTGAGCAGCTAGGATTACAGGTGTGAGCCACCAGCACCTGGCTTCTTTTTTCTTTTTAAAGACATAGCAGACTGAAGTATTTTATGATTCAATATGTCAATTTGTTAATACCTTTGTTTCTGATTTCTACTAGTGTTTTCAAGGCTTAAGTAATGAAACCTCTAGAGATTGAAAAATATATTTTCTATTGAATAAAAACATTCTGTTTGCTTTTATGTTTAAATCATCTATATTAATTTCTATTTTATGCCAGGATTTCATTAGGTACTTGTCATACTAACACATTTCTATTATAGCATTCACATATAACATTGTACCAGTTCTACAGCTTCCTATCAATGATAGCTCTTTGGAGGTCTGAACTGTGCCCTAACTCCCGACCCATAATATCTCTCAGGAAATGTTCACTGAATTGAAGTGAATGAAAATCTTGACACTGTTTGCGTGCGTGTGCGTGTGTGGCTTAAACTCAGGACCTGGGTTCTGTTCCTTAGACTTTTTTTACTCAACTGGCACTTTACCACTTGAACCACAACTCTACTTCTGACTTTTTGGTGTTTAACTGGAGATAAGAGTCCCTCAGATCTTGGCTTCAAACCACAATCTTCAGGTCTCAGTCTTCTGAGTAGCTAGTGTTACAGGTAATAGCCAAATCTGACATCTTTTAAGAAATTTACAATCATATTCCAAAACTTGCTACTAGAAGTAATGGCTTAAACAAATACTGGAAAAACCATGTCCTTGTCCTCCCAGGTCCTGCTCAGTTACTTCTCCAGGGTCATTATACTGGTCAGATAAGGATATTAATTCAAACCAAAGGGGTGGTAAAATCTCAAAAGAAGAAATTAGGAACAAATGAAGCAGTGGTACTTACTAGAAATTAGGTCATAATGGTATGGGAGAGGAAAACTGGGAGAGATTGAGGGAAGGGTTGATGTTGTCCACAAAGAAATGTACTCATTACCTGATTTATGT